AATAGCAAGTCATGAATGGATATTAGATAATCTGCCCAGGAAAAAGGTGATGAACTGGTTATTTCTGAGAACAACATAGTGAACAAATTATCAACCTCCAAACGATGCTCAGTTCTTAACCCTCCATAAATAAGATGAACAACCAAATAGGAAAAAGACATCAGTGTGTTGGATATTTCAGTGTTAGCGGTTCACATGATTTTTCCCAAGAATATTGTTATATTTTATTTTTGCCTCAAAGTTCCAGCTTCTGGATAACAAATGGGAAAACCCTTGGACTGCTCTAAGAGAATATACAGTAGAGTTACTTTCATTCAGCTTGAAAGTCTAGAAAAGTATTTATGCGTGAGCTTAACTTCAGGTTTGGGCACTACTGTCTGACTCCACTGTCTGTGGAGGTTAACCAGAGACTGAAAGGTCAAGAGACTGAAAGATTTTTCTGGGTCAACGCTGGATGTCCTTCTGTGTCCTTTCCATACGGTAGAAATTACATCTGTGAAGTCTGTTTGCTTACCCAGTCAACACTGTGACACTCAGAAAATACATTGGCTATAGTACCATGGTGAAATCTGGCACCATATAGTCCAAATTATTTTTAAGGTAACAATTTCTTTTTCTTTGAAGAAGCATTTGTGGAAAGAAGTTGATGAAGACAAATATCTACAAAATGTACAGCATTAATGAAAAGGTGAGGTAATTAAAATTAATTTTAAACAGGAGCTTGTTTGTAGAAATTTCTTACTATGCTAAAATAAAGCTGTTTACCAAATATTCCAAGAACATACACATGTCAAGTCAAATCTGGATGCACAAAGGAAAGCGGAAAAAATACGTTGCTACTGAAGCAGTAAGAAATTTTGCCTGTGCTTGACCTGAAAGCACTGCCTGGAAAAATACCAATATAGTAGGCATTAATATTCAACTTTCTTTCATCTCTTTTCTGTTTGAAGTATGTTTTCTTGCAGTGAATTTTCACTTCAGTGTTTCTTCTTTCAGTCTCATCAGAATTTTGGACTTTTGGAGGTATGGAAAACTGGAAAATTATCATTATTATTAACCAAGCATTCCTTATGATTTTCCAAATAAATGCAATTTTACAGTATAAAATATATTAATGAAATGTTACATCATGGATTGGCCTGACTGAAAAAGAGTACATCCATTTCTCAGATTGTCCAAAACATTTTGAATTGATTTGACAAAATGCCAAGCTAGAGAAACATGCACGATGGGAGAGGCTCTCAAGCTCCCCATGAGAAAGCAGTATGACCAGGTGCCCATCTCAAACACTTGTAAAAAAATTATTGAAGCCTGAGAAACAAACAGGAGGAACTGGGAGTCCATTTAATGACATCAATCACACCAGTACGATGGGAGAGCCAGAACAGCCGGAGTGCTGCAGCAGGTGAATATTGGCTCTTTAGGAAGGACAGGCAGGGAAGACAAGGCAAGGGTTATGCTCTGCACAGTGGGCACCTTGAATGCATGAAGCTTTACTTCATAACAGGTGACTCGTCTGTTGAAAGCATGTAAGTCAGATTTAGATGGGAGGCCAGCAAGGGGAACATCACGGTGAGCATTCATTACAGACTGTCTTGTCAAGAAGTGGGACTGGATGCGAAGAGTTCTTTTAACAACTGTAAGAAGCTCCATAATTGGAGACTAGCTACTTCAGCATCTCCTGGGAGAGCAGCACCATGAGGAGCAATCAATCCAGAAAGTGCCTCAGGGACAATTATCTAATGCAGGTACTGGGTTTCCAGCTAGAGCTGGTAGTCTCCTAGACCTGTTATTCACATACCCTCTGGTTGTGGATATGATAGTCAACAGCAGCCTTGGCTGCAGTGACCATGACTGCCTTCATGAGGTGGCAGCATTCAAGATCCTGACGGAAGGGAGGAAGGCGAGCATCAGGATAAAAGCCCTGGACATCTGGATTTGGCTTGTTCTGGGAACTGGTAGGCAGGATCCTACTGGAGGCTGCTATGAAGCGCAAAGGGGTCCAGAAAGAGCTTCTCAGACTTAAGGAACAATTTCCTTAAAGTATAAGAATTAACCATTGCAATGTGCAGGAAAATGAGCAGATATGGCAGAAGGCCAGCTTGGCTGAACAGGGAACTGTTGACTGAGACCAAATACAGAAATGAAGCATGCAGGAGGTGGATACCAGGACAGGCTACCAAACAGTAATATAGAAGTATTCCCTGGGCATGCAGGGATGAAGTGAGGAAGGCCAAAGTTCAGCTGGAGTTGAACTCAGCTAGGTGTATGAAGGACAACACGTACAGGTAAGGCAGCAGTAAAAAAAAGAGACCAAGGATAACATGCTGCCCTCCTCCTCTGCTCAGGAGGAAGGCAACCTAGTGACAAAGGACACAGGAAAGGCTAAGCTACTTAGTGCTTTCTTTGCCTTGGTCTCTACTGGCAAGGTCTGCTCTCTGGCCTCCCAGTTCTTCACGTCTGGTAGCAAAGACTTGGAGAGGACATGCTACTCATGGTAGAGGACAATTTAGTCAGGGACGACTTCACCTGGATGTACACAGGTCCATGGCAATGGCCAGAGGGCATTCAGGAGTGCTGAGAGGGCTAGTTGATGCTGCTGCAAGACTGCTAAAGTCTAATCAGCAGCTGGTAATGAGTGCCATTCCTCAGGAACCAGTCCTTCATCAGTGACAGGGAGGAAGAAGTGGAAGGATCCTCTGTGAGTCTGCAAGAAACCCATGCTGGCAGGAGTGGTTGGTGCACTGGAGGGCAGTACTGCCAGTCAGGAGGAGCTCGACAAGCTGCAGGAATGTGTTGACAGGAGTATCATGAGTTCAGCCAGGCGCTAAGTTCCTCACCTGTGATGCACTGATGAAGGCTGGCCAATGGCTGGCTAAAAAACTCCTTTGCAGAAAAGGACCCAGAGATTTTTGGGCCCTCATACAAGAGAAGCAAACTGGAGTCCAGCTAAGGAAGATGTTTTTATTTAGCCTGGAGTAGAGAAAGGTAAGCGGGGACCTAATTGCAGTCTTTCACAAGTGGTTTGCAGAGAAGATGCAGCCTTCTCTTCTCAGAGACACACAGCAAAAGGATAAGAGGCAACGGTCACAAGTTAGAACAAGAAAAATTTCAGTTGGCCCTAAGGAAAAGGTCTTTCACGATGACACTGGTGAACAGACCTATCAAAAAGAATGTGGAATCTCCATCCTTGGAGATTTTCAAAAGTCTACTGGACCAGACCTTGAGCAACCTGATCTAAATTTGAAGTCTGCCCTGTTTTAAGCAGGAGATTGGACTAGATGCGTTCTTTATGACCTTTTAACCTAAATTATTCTGTGGCACTTTAACTTCTTTTCATGCTGCATTACCTTGCAAGGGTTGAAATTTTAGTTTCCAATATTTTTTATAAGAGTTGTCCTTGAAGGGTACATCTCCATAAGGGGAATACACTGACTGAACACACACACCTCATGGGAGTTATAAATTTTTCAATGCATTGTAAGGGGAAGAGCTCTAGCTATGGATTTTGGTCCCAGGGAAAACTGCAGGTATCAGACTCCCATAATTGCCCAAAAGAACTACATAACAGATCATGCATCATCATAAGGAACTGTAAATTACCACTGTGATTGCTTTGAAAGGAAGCTTGTAAATTCAGTTTAGTAAAAACTAACTCCATCGTTCTGATGACAGGAATGTCAAATGTTTAATTTCAATATTGAAATAAAAGGTTTTGACTACTCCTAATGTGAATTTTTCAGAATGTGCATCTCCTGGAAAACTTATGAAGGCCAAATTTCCTCCTTGCTTTGGGAGAAAAACAAATGTGAAAAGACAAATTTCCTGCAAGACAGAAATGCCACATTTCTCTCAGCTTTATAACTGAATACTATTGAACACCATTCCTCTCAAGAGCTCCAAATATTTTGAACTACAATGCAAACACTGTTACCACCATATTTCCATAAATATTACTGAACTGTGATCCAAGAAATGTGGAATCACTCATGGCCATCTCTGCCTATTATGGTTTACTGCCTTCCCTCAATGGTTTTAATTAAGGTATTGTGAGTGTTCATACTTACAAACAAAAGGAAACAAGGAAATTGAGGCTCATGAATTTTTCCCCTCCGATCTAATATGAGGTTTGCATTTGCAGAAGGCAAATTATGAAGAAGACATTATGATGTCTTTCTTCACAGAGACCTTTCTAAAAAAATCAAGAATTTTTTTTTCCAAAAAGAATCTTTTTTACCAGAAAGCAATAGTTAATCTATAAATGAGTGCATACAGTTGTACTCCTTTTGGCTAGGATAGAGTTAATTTTCTTCATAGTAGCTAGTATGGGGCGATGTTTTGGATTTGTGACCAAAAGAGTGTTGATAATACAGGGATGTTTTTGTTACTGCTGAGCAGGGCTTACACAGAGTCAAGGCCTTTTCTGCTTCTCACACCACCCCACCAGCGAGTAGGCTGGGGGTGCACAAGAAGTTGGGAGGGGACACAGCCGGGACAGCTGACCCCAACTGACCAAAGGGATATCCCACACCATATGACATCATGCTCAGCATATAAAGCTGCGGGAAGAAGAAGGAAGGGGGGACATTCGGAGTGATGGCGTTTGTCTTCCCAAGTAACTGTTACGCGTGATGGAGCCCTGCTTTCCTGGAGATGGCTGAACACCTGCCTGCCCATGGGAGTAGTGAATTAATTCCTTGTTTTGCTTTGCTTGTGTGGACAGCTTTTGCTTTACCTATTAAACTGTCTTTATCTCAACCCACAAGTTCGCTCACTTTTACCTTTCCGATGCTCTCTCCTATCCCACTGGGGCAGGGTGAGCAAGCGGCTGGGTGGGGCTGAGCTGCCTACTAGGGTTAAAACACAACAGTACACGAAAAAAGCCAAGATGATTTAATCACCCAGCAAAGGGAGAGAGGATCCCCACCACCATCGCCTCACAAGAAAAGGCAGCATTTGGTCAGGAATGACTTTCAAAACATCTTCTTTAACCAAGTTACCTTTTTCTCCTGGAGGCCCAACTCTGCCTGGACGACCTGGAGCACCTTTCTCGCCCTTTTCTCCAGCCTCCCCTGTTGATACAAAAGGAAACAAAAGGAAGAATCATACTAAACCAGGACTATTTTCTGTTGGTGGCAGTGACAAGAGTGCTGTTCGCCCCACTGAAAATAAAAACCTACTATAACAAGAGGAAAAGAATAAAAGCAGATAGGGTCTGACTTAACAGCTTTACTTAATGTGTGGAGAGCAGAGTTTCCTGCAAATGGCATAGATACTGACAAAACCAAAGTCAAAACATTAATGAAGTCTCATACAATGGGCCTAGTTTTGTGGATGTTACTCAACCTCCAAAAATCCCAACAGCACAATTCACTTAAGTAGAAGTTTCAGAATTAGGCCCCAACTTACCACATGAACTTCTGGGTCTGTGTTCACCAAACACTGCCTGAGTATCTGCTAAGGATGTGCTTAAGTCTCAAGTGAAAACAGCTTAACTATAACCTCAAATTAAAAAAAAAAAAAAGAAAAAAGTTCATGCCATTTACTGAGTAAGGACAGATTAGGCCTCTAAGAAGGCATTGCTACATCCCTCATTTGAAGGATCATTTTTAAGCATGAAAGAGTATCTCCTAATCTATATTCTCAGTTATATACTGTGCCTTTTAATCTCTGTGGTACGAACCACTGTGCATTGTACTTAACATGCACATGGCTCAAGGCGCATTATAATATTCAGCATATTTAAACATCAGTTTCTGTAAATGTTTGTCTCCCTGGTGCCTTTAATTGGAAAGTTGGGGATGTTTACCTTGTTTTGCCCCCTACTATTGTACTACTATTGTAGTTTGCCATTGACATAAAATTAAAATGTCTTAAACAAACAGAAGTTTAAAGAATGATTTACATAGCCACCTTTACGAAAAAGATTTATACGAAGGAGAAGAAAGCTCTATGGCTTCCACAGAAAAGAAAATGCCAGGATCTAAAAGCCAGAGCTAGCACAACACACCTGATGCCCCAACACTGTATTTCTACAGAGGAGAGTGAGCATTAGCTGCTCTCCAGGAAGCTGAAGGGAGCACCATAGCAGGAAAGTCAATGGTTATCACGTACCCCTCAAGCTCTGCTCTCTGGCATAGCCAGCAGCTGTGGTTCAGAGAGGGACCATAGAGATGACATGCAAAAACAAGTCAAAACATGGTACGTTTCAAATATGCAGCCTCCAGTTCTCTCTCTCCTTATTGCAGACATAGGTGGCTGTGAGATGAACTCAGCCCTCCATCTGTTATATTTTCCTTCTTTGGGCTGCCAGCAGGCTCCAGACCATCTTCCCTGCTTTCAGACATGCAAAAATAGGCCATTCTCTGACCTTAATGAGGACAAACTTCACATAATCCCCAGTGAATAATATTGTTAGTATGAAACAGGCTATTATTTGGCACATTTGGGAACGTCACTTTTTTATTATCAGGTAACCAACAGGCTTTGTATGATTGCCTTTCCCCCCTCAGGGCTGGTTATGAGTTCTTTGCTTCCCAAAGATAAATCCTGACAATGACTTTTTCCTGCTCTCTGGAGGCTGAGAGCAGGCTATTACAGCCTATTGCTTTACACGTTCTTCAGAGTGAAAGCTGTGCATTAGGGATCAATAAAATAGATCACTCTTGCTTCAGGCCATTACACTTGCCTGCATTTATTCCTATAATAAGATGACACTGCATTCCTTAGTGTGGGTGTTTAAGAAACTTTCCCTGAGAGGAGATTACCCCATTACAGGCCCAGCTACAGACCACTCTGCATTTTTTGTTATCAGCTGTTTTAAGTGGCAAGACCTTGGCCAAGAGGGACTGATCAGCGGTCCAGTTCAGCTTTGCCATGTTTAAGTCTGTTTTTGCTGTGTGTACCCTGAGCACTGTGCAAGCTGAGGAAGCAAAGCCTGTGCAGGTGTCGTGGGCAACAAAACAGTTTTCTGTCAATGAATTTCAATTAATTTAACTTATCACCAATTAACACTAACTTTTAGCTTTTGATTCCTGAATTAGGAAGAAAAAACAAACAAATGAACTTAGAGAAAGACACCTCTGCTCCCCCCCTTGTGGTCTCTAGCCCCTGTGCCGCACATTACACCCAGTCCCTTCAGAGCAGAAGGTGGGGGTCACTGCACTGTGGTCCCTACCCAGTTGCTCCGGCATGGCCTCCTCCACTAGCCACAGTCCTATCTCCCGTTCAGTCTCCTCTCCACCCCTTCCCAGGTGGCTCTTTGCTCCAGCCCTACTGCATGAAAGAGTACCTTCTTCCTCAGCACAATGCAGCTCTTGCCCACGCAGCTGAGATCTGAGATGGGGCGAGATGTGCACAGCAGTGCTCCACAGTGTTGTGATGGCCCACAGCCCCAAAAGAAATTTAGCCCTGGTACCGAACTGAGCTGCAGCAGGGTCACAGGTATCAGGCACAACCCTGACACTACTACAAGCTTCTTGTCCTGTCATCTCTGAGAGAGATCTTTCATAATTCAAACAATATATCTTACCATTACTGTCAATTTACCTCCTGTTACGAATTCTTTGGGACAAGATTCGTCTCTGATTATGTTTACATCCTGCCTACCTTGAGCTGTACCATATACTGTAATGAAAATAACACATCAAATATTAACTATGTGAGCTATTAAGCATTCCTTGGCTGGTGATGACTTTCTTCCATTACTCATAGTCCCTGTGTGAGTAGACGCATCGTGTGGGCGTAAAAAAATTGATTTTATTTATATAGCATCAACTTTTTTATGTATTGTATACCATTGAGACTATTAAGACAATTCCTGTTTTAGATTCTAGAAGGGAGACAAAACAAGGTGGCAAACCAAGTATTTAAGCTTTGAAGGATTGTTCCATATTTTTTTCTCTACTATAGCAGTAACTTCAATCTCGTGTGCCTATCAAAAGGAACTGGACTTTAGGAAGAAGGTGAGTGGGAAATGTAGTGAGGCTTCATCATCCATCCCTTTTTCACACACAACACACTTTTTCCATTATTAATATCGTCAGCTTTCTAAAACACAGATCAGTCTGCTGTCTGGGTTCTCAGAGCCACGGTATTCTTCCCTTCCACATTTCATCTTACTCTTTTATACTGTTGAGATTATTAAAAAAAAAAAAAAAAAATCAGTCCCTAAGACCTAAGCTGCTGACCTTAAACTCATTTGTGCCTTTTTCTATTCTTGGTGTCTTTACTGGCTTTCTTCATCTTCCATTTCCACCTCCATTCTCATCTCATCCCCCTTCCAATTCCCCTTTTTATTCTGAGGGATCCTAATTGGCTTTGTGTTTTTTGGGTTGTTTTTTTTTTCTCCAGTCTCTCCACTCAGTTTCATTCTTCGTGCTCTTCTTTTCTCTTTTCCCTTTGTTTCCTCCTGTTCTTCTAAAGTTTGTCCATTATGCTCCCCCACTTTTGGGTACTTTTCCCTGGTGTCTTTCTCCTTCACCACCCCATTTGGGCTCTACTTTCTGCACCACCTCTTAGGCTTAACCCTCTCCTCCTATATTTTCCCTTTCACACGTTGCATAGTCTCCCTCATTTCTTCCACTTCTTCCCTGTACCTATTTTTCCCAAATCCTGACAGGCTCGTGTCCAGCTGTGGTGCGGGGCTCTGTTCCTCTAGCATTGGAGATGCTGCCGGCAGCCCAGCAGGGAGAAGATGGAGCAGAGCTAAAAGCCGCAGTGAGCAAATCCCACTGTGTGGGAGCTGAAATTTGGGCACGCGGCCACATATACGCTCAGTTTAAAGGAAGCCTGGGCCACCGAAATGGGTTGGAGTTGTGCCAGTGGGAGACAGCAGTATCTCATTACCAATCCTCTGAGCCAGTCCCCCTGACAGCGTAGCTGGAGCATCGATAGCTTTTTAGGGATTTCACATTAACTAGGGCTGTATCAGGCCATTTTGTGCTTCACTGAATTTGTACATCAATCTCTCTCACTTTTGCAAGGCTTACATCTCATGAAGCAGAGTGAAATCATTAACACATGATGGTTTTCAGGCCTCTGTTGTTTCCTGGCTCAGGATTGCCTTCTGACAAAGGGCCAGGGTCCTGCACTGTTTATACATTTTAAAAAACTCTGTTGCATATAATAATAATAATCCTTTCATAAAAATGGTAATCACAGATGTTAATTTTGACTGATTACACAAATAAGGAAACTAAGGCAATGAAGTTACAAAACTTCTCAAAGCCTGTCAACTTCTTTGAAATGAAAAATAACTCTGCTGCTTTGGTCCCCAGTGCTGTAGAGTCTGACCCTCTGACCAATCTTCTGTGTAACTTTAGACAACATATATTTAACTTGATTGTGTTCTTCTCTGTGAGTCACATCAACAGCACTATCTTATGCTTATTTCACAGCAAATATATCAACAAATGAAACAACTTTACTCAAGGCTTAGTCAAACCTCAGAAGACCTGGATATAGTAGCATTCTTTCCAACTAGAAATCTGCAGAAGGTGTAAATATTAAGACTTCAAAGGCCACGTATTGAAGTAAAATAAAAAAAATATAATTTTGGTTCAGTTCAGGAATCCAAAGCTGCATCTATAATAACAATAAACAAAACTTACCTAATAATATTGATGCCACTAACATAATCTAGTGCAAACCTGGGCTTTACCCAGTTGCCTGAGGACCATAGTATGGACTGCAGGCTCTGTCTATGCTGGTTAATTCATTGGTGAGGGCAAGGCTCGGTTCTGTCCTGCAACTGTTCATACAGTTAATTGCGATCGCAGCCTGGCTATAAGTTTGTTAGTGTTGTAAACTGCCCTCTCCAGACATTGGCCGGTTTGGATGTGGCTTGAAGCAAGAGAATTGGGCTGTAGGGATGTGGGTTTTGCTTGGCCAATTGGCTTCAGGACCAAAAAAGCTCTCGTTTTGTTTATTATATTGTTTTTTATATACAGTGCATAACTACCACAAAAATTGGAAGGTTAGTTGTGCAGTTCTTAAACTGCATTTTTTTATCAGTAATGATAAACTGGTGGTTTTCATGGGGTTTTTTTGTCCTTAGTTAACAGGTATTTCCCCATGCTCACAGGTCTTACACTCCAGTAGAAACACCATAGCCTCCATAACGAGAATTACTATTATTGACTAAACAGGGCTAGGATTTCACACCATAATGGATGCTGTTGCTTCAAAATGCTAATTCTTCCTAACTGGTCATTTCTTATCTAAGGTACTTTAATAGATTTTTTTGCTACAAAAAGATCAGTAATTTATTGTGCCATCTTTTTTTGGCAATAGTTTGGGGGCATATTTTGTAAAAATGTTGCTTTTGTCAACAGAAACTGTAGAAATGCCAAAAATCTAACTAATTTTTTATTTCTTCTAAAAGGCACTTGAGCATTTAAAAATCAAGGGAAGACAAGCAGAAGACTAGAAAATACAAAATACTTCCCATTAGTACATCACAAAATGGCAATTAAAACCTCTGCAGATATAAAGTAGGGCCTGATTTTACAATCTTTGGGTATATGCACCATTCATGAGTATAAACACAGACAAAGCAACCAGGCAGAACATCAGATTAACAAGCACTACTGATCAGGAGCAAGTCTGGGAAACTTTGGCATGCATTCTCTGAACCATATTCATTTTAACAGACTTAAGTTCGTCTTACAAACCTTAAAACTCCATTTTTAAGGAGGCAAAACAAACTGGACAAATGAGAGGACAACTGAAAGGCACCTTCTTTGTCTCTGTTAGAAACAGTCAGTGGTGCAAATGAGCCTGTTAGAAAGAAAGGATTAGTATTTGAATGATGGAGTAGACTTCCACATTACCTTTGAGGCCTGGAACAAGAATTTGAACAGAGCAGGACTCCTCCGCAATATGTTGAGGATATCCAGACCTTAGCAGTGACAGGAAGGCAAGGCTAATTAGAGTCAGCAAGAAAACCAGATCTCTCTTCATAATGAGCACTTACAGGTCACTGACTCCTAAACAAAAGAATGAATAAACAGTTATAAGAATTCCAAAGACTTTCAACAGTTTCTGAACATATGCAGCATCCTACTATGAATACAATATATTTTTGCATGCCACAACCCACAGAGCATGTGAAGGACATGTACAGGTCCTCCGAGCAGGTTGTATGTTCCACAGGCATACATGAAACATGCAGCAGCACATTCAGCAGTTTGTTTTGGTGTTAGACTGGGTAAGATAAAGCTCAGAAAAAATTTAGTTAAGAAAAAGGAGATTAAGCGATGTTAATAATAGGCAATTCTGTGTTCACAATTTCTTGTTGGAGGCAGGGATCTGGAAAGGTCAAAGGAGAAAATCTAGGACATCGCCTTGCATTGAAAGATGTTAGTACTAAGCTGCCACTTAGAAAGAGTGCACACTGCTCTAAACAGGCATTTCAGTAGACGATGAGACCAACCTAAAGGCCTGAAATTTCACTTCCCATCTACCTGAGCACTGAAATTGTGCCCAGCAAATTGTTTGATACAATAGCCCTCATTAACTCATTGAGGGTGGAAGAGAGATAATATTTCACTGTATCAGGCAATGAAGTTACATCAGAGCCTTCAATAAATCCTGAAAAGATTCACCTCTGAAACTACCCTTGTCTAAGCCTACAAGTGAAATGGCTTGCCTGATATTAGGCTCTGAAGAGATCTCTCAGAAAACAACAGTACAGAAATGGAGTTTGTTTGAAAGGACTATCAAAAGCCGGTATTTAGGGGGTCTATAGAAATACTCTTTGACAAAAGTGTTATTTATGTACTTCTCGTATGTCTTTCCAGTCCTCCTTTCACCAAGGCTCTGTACTACACAAACAACCTGAAAGTCACATCAGGGTTTCCAGAGAAAGTACCTGTATATCTTCTTTTATAGCCACGATACAGACGTGTGCATTTTACATCTAGGGCAAGAAGATTGGGCTATATTACTCTCCACTCCCTGATTTCCTTCAAAAATAAGCCAAGTAGGATTAGGCACAGGTGTGGGCCGGTACATGGGTCTGTCTCTCTCACCATGCTGGTGGTCTAGGAGGGTGGATCTATTATTTTGGCAATGGCCTGAAGGAATAAGTGTGCTTCAGCAGGGACAGGAGAATAAGGAGCTTCAGGGTGAGAATGAGCTGGGGAAGCAGATACCAAAACATAAGGGATGGAGCAAGATGGGCAGACTGCGCTCTGCATGCAACAAAATTCAGTTTTGCCTGTACTATTAAAAAGCCCTGCTCTAATTTTAAATTCCACCATCAACTCTGATATGTTTAATAAATGTCTTAGCAGTAAGACTAAGTAGATGACTTTGGAGTTGGGGGAATAAATTATCTCTCTGAATTGCTATCCAGTATGTGCTTCCATTATCCTCTAGGAGATAAAATTAGTAGACTGCAGTAGGGGTGCCAGATGGGAGCAGATTCTGTCTCCCTCCTCATATGGGGAGGGCATGGCACCAGTTATGGGGGAGATTGCTCTGCCTCACAACACCCTTGGCTACACCATCTATACTGCAGGGCAGAGGTGCTCCACAACATGCTTCCTCAGTCCTCACTGATCATCCAGATTTGGGGCACAGACGACAGTATGCTGTGAGCCCCTTTTGACTCAAATCTCTTCCCCAGCTTTCCATCCAAAGGAGAGTGAGGTGCAGCAGGAGGACCATGCCTGAAAAAGGTGGGGTGTATGCTTGGATCTGGGAAGAGCTCGTGGGTCAAGGGAATCACTTGATACAGTCACAGTCTAATGGGCTACAGTGAGGCAGAAAACCCTAGGTAAAGTCATTGGTGCTGGGTAATCCTCCCACGGAGCAAGGGAGGAACAGGGACTATCTGGGCATTTTCACAGCTACAACATGCCATGCTCCTGGAATGGGACAGACCTGACGACTTCATACACAAGCTTTGCCAACCAGAAAGATGACCCAGGACAGTATGGACCAAAGAAAGGAAGTTTCCACTAAGCTGTAACATAACAATTTTATTTTCAGGGCCTCTGTCTCAATTTCCTATTACCTTTTAGTCTAGCAGATCACAATATAGACAATCTTACTAGAGAAGCATTTTGTACCCTCACAACATTCTTGTCAGACTATTAAGCACTAACGTCATTTACAAAAGTCTCCTCTCATAGCTTAGGGTGCAGGTTCTGAAGGGACAACACTCACTCATACACAGATGTTTACGGTATTCTTTTTTCCCCCTTCAGGAGTGCTCAGCTCCCAAAATTTTGCTTATGCTGCCACAACTAAGATGACTGCAGCTCATATATACATGTCAGCTTTAAAATATCTAGCTCAGGTACTGCTAGGAGCACACAAAGTCACAGAAGTACAAACCTCAGCATGGGCTGCTCAAATATTTAGGCCACATTAAGTTTTGTCACAATTGCAGCAACATCACTCAAGACTTACAAGAGTGCAGGCAAAACTGAATTTTGCCACCCCAAGTATGAGGAACCAGAGCTGGAGGAGAAGGCACATCACAAAGGTGGATCTAGAGAACAGCAATAGTTGCGGGGGGAAAGGGGAAGAGTAATGGAAATTTGGATGTAAAGCTTCTACTGCCACGGAGAAGCAGCAACCAGCCTGGCACCCCAGGGCACTGACAGACAAGACTGACAGGAAAACATGTGCTGTGTTAGTGTCCTCTGCTTTCTTGGGCTGCTGCCTCCTTTGCCTATGCACAGAGCCAGCCCCGACTACCAGAAACCAGTCGGGCCACTGGCCACCTTTATAGCTATTTTCTAAGGTTATACAAGCTATTAGATCACAGTCTTGATATAGTTTTGAAGTATCAGATCTCTATGATAGCACTCTTCACCCTCATATCCTCATGTGCATACCAAACAAATTACTTCACATATATTAAGCTTGAATCTGGCCACACCTCCCCAGAAGGAGATTCCTAACCCCAGGGTACAAGGCACTGCACCTTGGTGTACTTTGTGGCCTAGAGGACCTCACAGCATCCACAGTGGATGGTCCTGGCTCTTTTTGCCAAGTCTGTGATCCACAACAGTCGGCAAGCAAAAGAGGGAGCAACAAAAACTAGCCAAGAGGAAAGGTCGAGAAGAAGGGTGTTTCTCCAGAGCTTCCCTTCAAAGGCTTGCAGGGCCAGACTTGGCATTTGAATAGTTAGGCTTCACAATGCCAAGTTAGGGACCAACACTCCCTGTGTGGGAAAGTAGTGAGTTGCCATTACCTCAGGCAGCAAGGAGGATGTGGCAGAGGCTCATGCTTGGAAGTCTCTTCCAGACACCTGAATGTAGGTGTTTAACCCTCAGCAGCAGCCACTTTTAAGGGACATGGAGTGGGACCATCCTGGATGATACCCACACTGATGCTCTGCAGGCTGAGCAGAGGACGTGGGTCCTGCCTGCCTTAGCCTGCAGCTCCTGCCCCATAGCCCAGGAGAGCACCTGGCCACCAGCCTGCAGGACATCTTCGGCAGGGTGTCCCACCTTTTCTTTGTAGGTGGGGCACTTTGGGATCCAGAAGACGACCAAAAAGGCTTTCAAACCAAGTGGTTCAGGCACTCAGCTGAAAGCCTGGAAATTAGGCAGTTTCAGCGTGAGCACCCAGCAGCCTGGTGATAAGGATTCTTGACAGATGAGTCGGAGAGGGGAATGAAATGGCCTGAGACAGAAGAAAGAATTGAAGTTAGGAAGGTGCTCCAGTCTCCGCATTAATGGATAAAAAGGCAGCATAACCTCCTCTGGTTGCATTTTATGAGGTGTTAGATGTATCCAGACTACAACTGAAAGATCAAAGCCTCCAGGTATGTTAAATATTCATCTGCCTTTGCAAACTCCTACACAGCTCAGAGATGAGACAGGCATCGAGCAGCAGAGAAGCGTCAGGGCTGCTTGGTGGCTCTGCTCAGCAGCCAGATATGAAGGATTTTCTGGGGAAAACAAAACCTCCAACGAAACTTCGTCACATTCCCCACTGCCTGCTCCTGCTGCAGAGCTTACAAGCCTCAGAGACACAGGGGATACACCTCACCCTACCTCGTGATAGTTTGACTCGCAGAGAAAATGGACTCATTCTAGAAAACGGAGCTTCTTACTGTCAGTTGGGTCACAACACCCAGACCCACATGAATACTCCGGAAATTACCTTGGTCTGAGAAGAGCCACTAACAGAGGAAATCTCTGAAGAGGTTTCAGATTAAATACTTTATAGAGTCTGCAGCTGCAGTAAAGGGACACATTAGTAGTAGAAATGAAACCAAAAGCACTTTGGATATCACTTTCTCCACCTTTTCCTGCTTTAAAAAGAACCCTTCTCTTCTGCAGCTAAAATTACCTTATGATTGAAATGAGTTTGATCTCCAGGTAAGTGCTACAGCAGTACCTTTCATTTTAAAATCCTGGAAAATTCCTCGCCTTTCTGACCTACCTTCAAGTCCTTTCAGACCCAGATTCATAAAGGCATTTAGAAAACTAAAACCCACTGAAACTGGTCCTCAGAAAAAGGTTTTTTCAAACACTATCTTAGTCCTGGTATTTGGAGTATCTACAGCGCTGGTAAAACCAATGCCAGAGAGAAACCTAGAGATGTTCAGCACTTGTAAAAGTATGAATATTTTCTCACTGTCTACACAGGGGTCAGGAGTCAAATTTGCAGCACTTATAATGGTGGCCATTAAATTAGCATAAGCTGAAAGCTTTGAAAAAAAAAATGAGAGGAGGAGGAAAACGCAGCATTTACGTGGCCTTTTCTTTAAAAAAAAAAAATTAGCAAAACGTCTTTATTCCCATTAGGAATGGAAATGTACCAATGCAACCAGCACAATAATTTCAAAACAACTTTTGAGACCTGTCAGCTTTAGGGAGTCTGCCTCGGTTGCCGAGAGAGAAGAGGTTTATTAAACCAGGCTTCAAGTGACAAGTCCTTGAGAGGTCATCGGAGAATTCCCGAGGCACCACAGGCTTCCTCAAAACCCCTGCGGGACCAGCCAGGCCAGCTGGCACCCAGA